GAGAGAGAGAGAGAGAGAGAGAGAGAGAGAGAGAGAGAGAGAGAGAGAGAGAGAGCGCATTTAATTCTCAAAACCTGAATTATTTGCTAATTGATTCTTTTTATAGAAAAAGTTTGTCAACACTTGCTCCAGGACATTTTCCTAAACCAAACAAAATAATGCATGCTACTTTGCCTTTATTAACACTCAGCTTTCTCTAATTCTAATATATATGTATATTTTAGCTTGTTTTTATACTTCATCATATTTGTTGGTGGACTGGAAGCTCAACATCACAGATGAATTTTTGTCTTTTGGAACATAAGCATTATCTCTAGCAAAAAAATTGTTTTATTTCAGGTCACTCAGGCACTCTTTATGAATTATTACAGATTAATAAAAAAATGGATGGGCCACGTGCCAACAGAATGGCCAGAAACTGTACATCTTGTTTATCTTGAATAAGGAAGCTGGATAGAAAGAATAATAAGACCAAATATATAAGAGCCATTAAATCAGGCATGAAAAGGCTTAGACTTTTCAAAACACACACATATGCACACACACACAGAAGCATCTTCCCACTTACCATAAAGAACTACAACATAAAGTAGATTTGTTTTATAAATATATTACTGTCTATATACATATAGTTACATCCACAAAACATGTTAAATAATCATGTGTATAATCAATACTACTTTAAGTTTTTTGTGTATTTTAAAATTACACATCTATTAAAATTATCAAAATAATTCTTTAAAAATATCAGGAATAAAACCAGTGAAGAGTTGCTTTCCTTTTAAGTGGTTCTAAATCCTATCATTGGTCATCCAGACCCTAGACTTGGTCATCTACAACTCAGTGAAACAGTTCAATTACAGAAATGTTAGCCATCAAAGGAACCCCCCCTCCCATTTTTTAATACTTCATAACAAATATGTATGTATGTGTATATGTATATATATATAAGACACTCTTCTTTAGTTATATTACATATTCTCGTAAATGCATTTTCATAAAAACACAAAAATCAAGTTTCCACCAGTATCAAATATTTTATACTGGTGAGCATTTCTTTCAATGTTTAAGTTAATGACAAACTCTATCAGGATACAGAGATCATAAAAATGAGACCAAAAATGTCTGCATCACATGCAAGAAAGGAGGAAATACTAAGGGCCAGTATATGGCCAGTTGGATACTATTCCCTCTGGACTAAGACACAGAGACAACAGACTGGCTAATTACTGTATAAAGTACAGTCAACTGACAATTATTCAGGGGCAGAATATTCCAGTCTGAATTCTTTTTTTTTTTCCTATTCAGCTGACCATTATTGGCAATTTCACTACTTATTCACACACCTCTTTCTAGTTATTTATTAGCAAGTCTGATAAATAGGGATTATAAATTAGGGAGAAAGTTTTTGCTTAAATGAAGGTTTGCGATCAGCTGTAGATTTAATTTGACAATGGACTGCTTTTAGGTATTACTTAAGATAAATAAGAGTTTGCTATACCCAAAGTCTGCCAATTATCTCATTTTGAAACTCTGAAAGCAACACTGGTATTTTAAAAAAAATAGGAACAAACTGTCCTTTTGATATAATAAAATGGCTATTTCTTTTTTTAAAATATTTTTTTAGATGTTGATGGACCTTTTTATCATTATTCATTTTTATTATTTATATGCGGTGCTGAGAATTGAACCCAGGGCCTCACACATGCTAGGCAAGTGCTCCGCTGCTGAGCCACAACTCCAGCCCCGAGAAAATGGCTATTTTTTACAAGTAATTATACTGGAAGATTTGTGGGTAGTTCAGGGCTACTCACTTCAGTACAAGTGATGGCAGGGTACATTATTTTCCCAAAACAATCATGACAAATAGCCAGCTAAAAATATTAAAAGGTCAAATTTAAAAAGTTATATCCATTTCACCTAAAATCTCATTTAAAACAATTTAGTAATATTTGGCTATCTTCAAATAATTAAAATGCTACAAAGAAAATGGAAGCAAAACCTATAAGAATAATTTAAAAGTGATTTTTATACTATATAATCTTAGATTATGACTAACATAAAACATACTACACATCTGTAACCCTACTTTTGGCACGCATTTAGCCTCTGTATTTAAACTTGTTCTGTAGATAATGACTGACAAAATCAAGGAAAACAACTTCACAAGTGAGTACGGGTTGCTCAGACACCACTCAAAATGGTCTGTGTGGCGTCACCTGCATTACTTTTGGGTACAGATGCATGCCACACTCACTTCAAACACAACAGCAATAATTGTGTAGAACATCACTTTCCTGAATTAAGTTTGCTGAACATGGTTCAGATTATTGGATATGTCAATAATGCACAATGCCTTTTAGAAGCATTTACTGTATACCCAAATCCTACTTCATGCAACACACAGTGTCACACAAGTAGTGAAAATGTTATCCTAGTCAAAGATGCTTGGACATTATTTTCAGGCAGCATTTTACCTTTATTTTAAGTTCAGACTATATAAGTTTTAGGAGAAAGAAAATGCCAATAAATTTATTTAATATATTTTAATATATAATATAAAACTAAGACAGACACTTTTATTTACCTAAATTGTTACTTTTATTTTCTACCCTATTCTAGACCTCAATTTTACTTTAAAAATTTGTATTTAAATAAGGGATAAAATGTTGCCCAAAAGTCTAATCATAGTTACACATTTGTGTTTTTTACTAGATCTACAAATCAAAATAGTTCTTATAGTTAAAAAGATACAATTTGTATCAACAGTAAAAGGTACTTTCTGGTTTTTCAGGGCTTTACTTCAAACTATGGCATGTAGAATAATCCCAATGACCAGAGCATCCAGGCAGACTGTAGTAATAGATCTGAATGTGTCTGCTACACTAAGTAAAATCCAGAATCTGGAGGGAACAGTCAAGTTATGTCAATCACATGACTGACTGCCGCTGACTGCAAAATCTATCTTCTAGTCCATAGAAATGTAACTGCAACAAGCAAAACCCATGACTTTGAAACCAGAAATATCCCTTACTAATACTAGAACAGACTTTAGTCTGTATCTAAAACTACACTATTTGTGGCAAGAGTCTGGCCTTAATAATATAACAGGCCCCCCAAAAAAACTACCTTCAGGAAATGGAAAATATACAGTATCTTACAAAAATTTTAAGTTACCATTTACACTCCTCCATCACCACTTCTATAGTGCAGTATCAATAAATGTTGCATATCCTCAACACATAAAACCACCTCAGGCCAGCCTTGATAAATAGCAGGAAAGCTAGAGTATATTAAATATAAAAGTTGCACTGAGAATAATTAGATTCATTAAAAACAGGCAAGTACTGTGAAAGGGTTATTTATCCAGTATTGCTGTGCCCCCCAAACAAATAGACAGACATTAAAAATACGGGTTAATGGAAATCGAGGAATTCAATTCCATTCCTACTGTCTAGAAGCACATCATAGCTGGATAACAAAGCTCTAACCTGTAACAGTTACGGCTTTTGCCTTATTCATAAAAAAATAAAAATAAAAAAATGGAAATGATTTTTCCATCGATTGCATCTGCTTTCTTTTAAACTGACCATATTAAGTTAACTAATTCTTAACAGAAAAAATCCAAACAAAAATACAACAGTGAAAAGTGCCATATTGTAAATCATTCTAATATATACTGTTACCCTTTTCAACATAAACCGGTAACTTACATTTTGTCTAAAATATAAAGTCAGTGCTGTAGTATATCTTTGTTTCTATAAATAATGATTATAGCACAAAGAAGCCCACTTTCCCCAAATAAAAATAACTTAAAAAGCTGTAAAAGATTCTAATTAAGCTTCGCTTGAAAAAATAGTTTGCTAGGTCTAGTCAAAGTTTCCACATTCTGAAGGTATTATAATTGCTTGCGATTGATAGATAAACACCAAGTTAATAAAACATGAAACAAAGATAAAAAGTGCTGCATATAAACCCCTGATGCACCAAAGATTAATATCAAAGATCACAGATACATCTATTAAATCAAACTGGAAAATTTTCCAGCCAAGGATATAGCTTTAAAAAGGAAATGTTTAAAAAAAAGTTTGAATGTAAAGCAATCCCGTGATACTTCCACCAAGTGGGGCTATACATACAGATTCCATGATACAGTATTTCACATAAATGGATACTATATAACCTCCTTGCTGAGAAGGAGATCACATGTGCTATTGTAGCAAACCTCCCTCAGCATTTGAGCTGAACAAAAAACTACTAAACACCACAATGATGCATCATCTTTCAATAACCCAGCTGTGATTTCTCCACTAAAATGGCTGCAGCAAGCTGCTGGGCATCTGTCATGTGAGGATTTCTTTTCATGACAATTCTCACAAGGTCAGGTGGGAAGATGTTGCACAAGTTGATATAAATCTTTTCCCGGTTGTCTTGGTACCTTGGAGGATCTTGTGGTATTCCACAGTATGGTATTCTCCAGGTGGGCTCCTGCTGTTCAGGTAGGCTCTGGAAGGTGAACTGCTCGTAACACGGTGGTGTAGAGTTATCAGGCAAGGAATAAGTCTGCCGATACCCATAGGCATCCATTCCGAAACTCGGCCTATCCCAGCTTCCCAACCCTTCCTGACGGGAGTAAGGCTTTCTTTGTCTTGAAGGAGAACTGTCATAGAGTCTGGAATCAGAAATGCTGTCTATTCTGGTAGCCATTAGGGACCTTCCTAGGTGTGGTGCCTTCGAGTGTGCTGAACTTGGAGGAGAGGGGTAATCACCAGGACAGCTAGACCGGGCACCCACAGCAGGGTGCTGCAGATGCATAGCCAAGTGTGGAAGAGGAGGCTTGTGATGGAACTTTGGTTCTTCATGACTGTAACTTTGCACTCTGGTTAAGGGGTCGTGGAAATTCTGCAGGAAAGGCTGGGAATTAAGGCGGCTGTGAGGGTGCATGTGTTGACACTTCAAATTCTCTTCCAGCTGGGGGTCAGGAGAACTGACATAGGATCGGTCATTGTACCCCACATAGGAGTCACTACTCCCGCAGCTCATGCTCCCTTCACTGCTGCAGTCAGAAGCTACAGAACTTATTCTATAGTCTGTGTCTAATGAGAAACGCCTTTCAGGACTTCTTGGGCCTGAGATACTCAGATTTGAATATGCATTTAACATGGAATAATATCCAATGTCAACAGGTGAGTCACATTTTGGATACTGTTCATAAGGCATTGGCGTTCCATGATTTTTGGTTGCCATCATCATTGGAGGATATTGTCCCTGTGGTCTTTGATCCTGAGGTGGGAAATGAACTCCAGATGGAAGGCCATTGCTTAAAGATGTAGTGCTTTGGGGTTTTGCAGTAGAAGTAGCCGGTATACTAACTAAGGAAGGTACAGACCTGGTTTCCAATTTGTTTTTGGTGGGAAGCTTTTCTTCTAGGTCTTGGTAGACTTGAGTCCTTATGCTTGGATCTGATTGCCTCTTTGGAGCACCTCGTTTGACGTCAGAAGTGCTATCAGCCTTTGTGCTACAAGGAACACTGTTGCTTTTCACCAGTCCTCCTTCATTTGCAGTTTTGGCTGCTGTATTTCTAGACATGGCACGAAGTTCATCAGCCACTGACCGCTGAGGCTGACTGCCCCTTTCGGGATGGTAATATTTGCACTTGTGTCCATAGGTACACTTCTTTCCTAAGAAGAGTAAAATTAGTTAGGTAAAGTAGCATACCATCAGATTCTGAAAAATCAGCATGGCACTAGTATTTTAACTTGTGAAAGAAAGCAGAAATGGGAGATGTGCTAAGTGTTATTTTCTGTTCCATACTCATGAGAAATGTCACTTTTTAGTCTTCATTTCCTTACTAGCAAGAGCAGTAAGAAAGTTGGCCAAATGATTAGTGATGACCTCACAGCTTTTGGCTAATACCACATGTTCTCAACTCACACTTGCCTCTTCTCTTCCAGTGGGATTATATAATCAGGTAGGAAATTCTGTTTAGAAGAATAACTGTGCTGCTATATTATAATAAAGCCATGCTTATCTAATTTGTGTCTAGCTAGATGAATTCTAAATCTTTACCCACCTAAAAACATCGTATAGAATTAACTGAGTTTTCAAACCACATTTTAGTTCATGGCAATTCATATGTATTGAAGCCAAATAGGTAAAAATAATTAAGGGATTTTCTTAAATTTAATTACAATCAAAAGAACCACATATTATGCCATCCAAAATTTTAAATGCTGACTTTTATTAACAAAAGTTTAACAATATATTGTGTTCTAAATATAAATGTTAAGTATTCATAAAGAAAGTTACCATATGGACAAGGCTGCTTTTTGTGTTCAGGAACAATAGGTTTCTTCCTCAGAAAATTATCCAGACTTGGGCCATGTCTGCCAAGAGGGTCATCAGGGGGCATAAACCTAACATGGAGATAGTAAAAAAATGATACTTAAATAGGAGGTTGATAATTTAATTCTAAAGATACTGTACAAAGATTTATTTACTCTAAGATAATTTGAAATTTTAATCCAAGTTTTTGATTCAATATTTACAGAGTAAAAAAAATGACAAACACTACACAAATTTCTCCTTTCTTAGAAACTAAAGTAAAATATCTTAAGCTGAACTTGTATGTTTTTTAATTCAAACAAACTTTGAGTCTAGCGTCTTTTAATTTTTTTCTTCTTCTCAAAGGAGTGCTGGGATTTTTTTTTAAGGATTTCAGAAAGTGATTACAATGAAATTTTATGAGAGTTCTGTAAACATCTGTGTTGTGAAGTTGTATGAAGCAGGTGGGGAGTAAGATGGAGCAGCTGAGGAAGGGAGGGGAAGAGAGGGGAATGCAGTGAGAACACAGGGACTTGTTGGACACCAGTTATGTGTCAGATACTTTACATGCAATAATCCCATGAAGTATTAGCTCCATTTTACAGATTAATAAAATTTTCTAATTTAGGTATAAAAGAATTAAGTAATTTTTATCTAGTGTCCCATAACATAGGAAATATTCAATTATGACTGACTGTTCAAAGTCTATTCTCTTCCTATTATAGTAAATGTACTTCTTAGATGAAATGGATAAAAAATCTTAAGGAAGTAAACTTATTATTATTTGGATTGACTGTACGATGGAGAAAAAAATTTATAGTGTGCATGATAAAAAGAAATTATGATTGAAGAATTATACTACTTGTCACGATAATGCTAGAACTTGAAATAAGCCTAAGTAGTTATCTACAAAATAAGAATAATGCAAGTAATGTATGAAATCTTAGGGAAATGACAAAATGGCTGAGTAATAAATAGTTGGCAAAAACAGTGTTGCTATCATGAAAACAATGTATCAACATAAAAGTTAAAAAATAAAAGACCAAGTCACACCAACCACACAATTTTAATACAATTATTTTCCATGCTTTGTCTTTTTTGTTTTGTTTTCTTTTTGTTGCTTTATCTTTTTAACATAAAAATATTTTTCCATGCTTCTTAATAGCTTTCATAATAATAATTATGAACAGATGAATAATATGCCAGTAGGATATGCACTGTAACGTGACTGCTTTCTCTACTGCATCTTTAGTTTCCTTTGACTTCTTGCAATTATAAACAATACAAAAACAAACATACCTGGTCTTTTCTTTTTTCCTCATTATATATTCCAAGAAATGAGAATATTGGATTGAAAGGGCAAACATATTTTTGAAGCTTCTGCTAAATTTTGCTAAAATGTACATCAGTTTACATGCATCTTTAAAAGCATAAGGCACACACAAAAATATTTTTTGTGAATTAAATAGGTGAGGGGCTGGGGTTGTGGCTCAGTGGTACAGCACTCAGCCTAGCATGTGTGAGGCACTGGGTTCAAGCCTCAGCACCACTTAAAAACAAATAAAAAAATAAAATTATTAAAAAAAGATGAGAAATAAAATACTTTTTAGATTGGTTTGCATTTTTGATTATTCAAAGATGATATTTTTCTTCATATTTATAAATATATTCATTTCTATGTAACATGCTGGTTCATGTCATTTGTCCATTCATCAACTTGTAGACTGTGACTATGACTAGAGTCTTATATTGGTTTTGCAAACTTTAAAAAATCATGCCTTTAGTAAGCTATCAATGCTCTAAGTTGACTTGTGAAAAGTATCTTTTTTAGGGTGAAGATGGGAGTTCTTCACCCTCAGAGTTTAAACTTTCTTGGCCTCAGGTGCTCTGTTAGAAGTTTCAGGGAAGGGCAGGGGCCTGTCGTTCATTCAGAGCCTTCCATAGCACAAGTTTGCAGTTTTTCTGACTACCACTGAGGATCAGTGGGAGATCAGTTGTTGGAAGAAACCTGTCTCAGATCTGGTTACCATACAATAAAAAGGATTCTTAACAGCTGCCAGGTATGGTTATATTTTCAAGGAAGCAAGAGCATTGGTTTACTTACTTGTCATTGACAAAGGAATACATTAATAACCGCTCATCTATGAACTTCTTCCATTCTGGTTTTTCATTAGCCAAATCCCTGTAGTTATCATTGGACACAATTATACCATCTGACTCAAAAGCAAGCTTCACAATGAACCTGTCATCATAGCACACCACTCGTCTTCCCTGGACTCGCCGGGATGGTGTGAACACCAGGATTTTCTCCTTTTCCAATTTGCGTAAAATTTCCTGATCTGCAAGAATAGTAAGGACAGAATTTGAGGAATACATAAATATATAACATATAGAATGAAAACTTTCATATATTGTGAGTTTTTTAATGAACTGGAATATATGTAATCATTTAATTAGAGATTATGATTCATAGTTGGTAGATGTAGTAAAATTTGTAACTCCCTAGAATATTTTTTTTCCAGGAATTAAAGGCTTTAAGAATAGTAAAACAAAATAAAACAACAAAACCTGATCAGCATAAACCTCAATGTGATTGAGAAAATTTTGATTTTCATTCCATGAAGCTTTTACTAAAAGCCTGCTTTAGCAAATTTATAGAACAGCTAAGCTATAGAACCAGCAGCATTACTGCTAGAATACAGCTTCTTAGACATTCTGCTACAATGACACTCTAACAAAGCATATGAGTTGGGTTTAAGAGAGAGCAAAAGGTACTTTCCTCCCAAGTTTGTGTATTTTGTAGTTTTTTTTGTTGTTGTTGTTGTTGTTTGTTTGTTTTTCTAACTGGTTGGTGTGATGGTAGGAGAATCTGAAAAGCAAGTAGTACATGTAGTAGAGATAGTCAAGGGAAACCTTAAAATATAAAAGAAGCTCAATAAAAAGGAGGCAGAAAGCTCAAGAAAGTTGAAATAAGGTCAGAAATATTGGCTATTATATCTTCTGTGTCCTTTTCTCTGAAATGTGGCAACAAATAGCCAGTTAGTAATTAAAAACAAAAATCTTTTCAACAGACAATTACTACATGCCTACTCTGTGGCATGTGTTGTGCTAGGTATCAAGAACCACCAAGGTTAATGTCATCTCCTCAAAGAGGGCACAGTCTTACTGGATCAGACAAACATGCAAACTGGGTAAGCAAAAGTATAATTGCCACTGCAGAAATATGAGCAGGCTCTACAGGAAGAGGAAATGGAGGAGTGATATGGGTTAGCTCTAATACTGGCATATGAATTGGATGATGGTCTCACAAATGAATTCATTAAGACCAGAACTTGGTTTAAAAAATCAGCAAAGCATTAATGGAAGATATAAGGGTGTTAGAATTAGCAAACCATGGATAAATCTCAGATTCTTTCACTTCTTACATCTGGCAATCATAATCTCATTGAGACTGTTTCTTTATGTCTGCAAATGCAGTGGCAAGCCTATGAGGAGTAACATGAGTTAACATGAGTAAAGGACACCACATGGTGCCTGGCAAATTCTTAATAAACACTGTGCTTTTCAACTTAATAGAGACATGTAATTGTCGGATCTCTTTTAAAAAAATCAGAGAAAACCAATTTGAAAGCAAAAGCCCAGACTCAATTATAAAATTCACCATATCACAATTACTGTGTTTCCCTCATAAAAATTTTGGGGACAGGCACCATGTCTCATTTATCTTTGTATCCATTAGCACCAAGCCCATGAAATGAAACTTATCAGTAGATGCTCAATAAATACTTATGTAATGAATGAATAAACGAGCTACTTGAAGATGTATACTCTGAAAACTTCCAGTGTATTCACTGTATTATGTGCATGAGTGATCCATGGTACCTCATTATTCAGGAGGGTATTTACTGACATCTGATATTCCTTAAGCCTTGATAAAGAGACTGAAGGAATAAATGTGGCAGCCTAATAATCAACACAATCTTGCTTAATTTGAATTTATAGAACAGCTAATGAGGTTGAAGGGACAATTAACTGGATGACACATAAATAATCCTAACTTCAATACAGGTTCAGTATAGCTGGTAAGTTAACATAGATAGTGCTTAGTATTTGTTAAAATAAATGGAAGAAGAGCTGGGTGCAGTGGCAGATGTCTGTAATCCCAGTAGTTCAGGAGACTGAGGCCGGGGATCCCAAGTTCAAAGCCAGCCTCAGCAACTAAGGTAAACCTTGTCTCAAAATAAAAAATAAAAAACAGGCTGGGGATGTGGCTCAGTTGTTAAGTGCCCCTGGGTTCAATCCCTGGTATCATGGGAGGGGACGGGGGGGAGAAGATCGGCAAATGTGCTAGCCTGAATCTCTGAATCTGAAACCTTTAATATATATATATTTTTGCATTATTTTTGGTGCACTGTGAGCACTGGACTGTTCAATTTATCAGGTGTTACCTGAATGAGGGCTTTAGTCAAGAAAATCATTATATTTGGAGAGAAAACACTTAAAAACCTCTAATAACAGTTCTGGCATTTTACTAAGTAAAGTGCATATTGAATTTCAGAGACCTGGTATGCTGGTGTTTTTAAACCAAACTCAGCCACACTTCACATGTATATTATCATTATTCCTTCTTGATTTTTATTCTTTTCCTACTTAAGAAGCCTGCAAGTCATTTATATACTTAAACACTGAGCCAGGCACAGTAGCTGCATGCCTGTTATCATAGAGACTCTGGAGGCTAAGGCAGGAATATTGCAAGTTCAAGGTCAGCCTCAGCAAAGCAGCAAGACCCTGTTTCAAACTAAAAAGTTCTGGGAATGTAGATCAGAGGTAAAATATCCCCAGGTTCAATCCCCAGTACCAAAACATATAAACAACAACCTAAAACCCCAGACCGTTAATGTAAAAGAATATGTCCCCTTAAAATTTCTGCCTAAATATTCCACCTATTATATCAATCAATCCTAATATATGGATTCTTTTAACGAAATTATAATTTTTTTCTTTTTTTTTTCTATTCAAGATAATATAGCAATGAATATCTTTGGTCATAATCTTTGCCTGTGAGCTCTGCTATTTTTGGGAGGTGGGGTGGGGGCGGGGAATTATTCCTAAAAGATGAACTAGTAGGTCTAAAAATACAGTAGCCACACCCACCCATCCTGGATATGTATATTCCAGGACTCCCAGTGGATCTCTAAAACCACAGATAGTACCTAACTCTCTATATTCTGCACTTTTCTGTACATACATTCCCACAAAGTTCAGTTTATATATTAGGCCCAGTAAAAATAAATAATTAATAATTAAATAGTATAACTATAACAATATACTGTTAAAGTTATGTTGAACGTGGTTTTTCTCAAAATATTTTATTGTAGTATAGATTTCAGTAACTTAGCATATTGTTAAGTCAAGAACTTTCATCTTTTCACTTAGAAGAATTAGTTTACAGCTTCTCTTTAGCATACCCAAATTGGCAGCATAACTCTTGAGCTTTAGGACTTTATTAAGAAAAATAAGGGTTACTTATGCACAAGCACTGCAATAGTCAATCTGATAACCCAAGAAGGCTACCAAGTAAGAAATGGGCGGGCAGCACAAATAGTATTGATATGCTGAACAATGGGATGTGATTCACGTTCTGGATAGGACGGAGCAGGACAGCATTAGATTTCATCACACTAGTCAGAACAGTGCACAAATTAAACAAATTAAATGTAGGAACTGTTTATGCATGCATAACAGAACTGCATGAGCATTTTATGTTAAGAACATGAATTCTTTATTTGTTGCTGTTTTTCTTATATAATTGATGAGTTCTTAAGAAAGTTTCTGCAAAGGTAGAAGCTTACATTTTTGATGTAATTACATCTATCTTTTCCTTCATAATTACTTCTAAAATTTTTAAATTTAGAAAGGCCTTCTCCCACTCAAAGACTACTTTTAGTCTTTGATGATTTAATTTTTGACAATTACATCTTCAACTACCTGGAATTTATTATTATAGGGAATAAGATAAAAATCTAAACAAGTATTTTTTTTCCAAAGAGTTATTCCAACATCTTTTAGCAGAATTATGCCAGCTCTCATGCCGCAGTCTGGCTGGGCACAATTCAGGAGCCACTTGTCAAAAGAAACTAACTTTATTTTTAGAACCCACACGCCAAACAAAACAGCTCCTCAGGAAAAACCCTCAGAGCCCAACTGCCACCACCGGCTTCCCACAAACCTCTCAACCTCCCCCACTCCTCCTGCTCTTGAGGCCAATTGGCTGGGTCACGTGGGCGGAGCCAAAAAAGTCCCCCAAGGAGCAGCTCCATAGAGAAGCCAATCAGCTAGAAGTTGCTGGGGCCCCTTCGGCTGTGGCTCTCAACAACCTCACATTTTTATGTGAGTCCATAGCTTTGGACTTCACCCTTGGCTACCTACACATTTTATCATAATTTGACTATGACTTTAATAATTGTAAATAAAAAGAACATTTAAAGTAATCTACCCCTTTGGGTATATGATAGATGGTCATTTGTTGTTGATTTGAAAAGTTTTATGGTTTCCTTCAGAGTTGCCTCACAGATTTTGTTAATATTAGAGGTGGAAAAAAGGTCAGGAAGGGTTGGATGCTGATGTTACAAAGGACATCTCTACCTGAAACTCATACATTTAGAAATTATGAACTAATATAAAGTATGGATATAAATAGTTTATTGAGACTAGTCATTTTCTTCTTTTTTTTTTTTAATTTTAATATTTATTTATTTATTTTAGTTTTCGGTGGACACAACATCTTTGTTGGTATGTGGTGCTTGAGGATCGAACCCAGGCCGCACGCATGCCAGGCGAGCGCGCTACCGCTTGAACCACATCCCCAGCCCAGTCATTTTCTTCTTGACCAGACAGCATATTCCGTGGTCTTAGAGGTCTTTTTTAACTTGTAACCATTAGAACTTGACTGGCATCCAGTCTAATTTCTTATAGCATATGAGAAAAGTGGGGTTCAGAGGCTCAGTGTGTTGCTCAAGTTCTGTTGCAAGTAAATGGCAAAGGTAGAGAAGGCTTCTTGTCTCAGCATGTCTCTAGAAGTCAGAATTTTAGGGGTTGGGGTTTTGGCTTAGTGGTGGAGTGCTTGCCTAGTATTGGTGAAGCACTGGGTTCAATTCTCAGCACCTCATATAAATAAATAAATAAAATAAAAATAAAGGTATATTGACAACTAAAAAAATATTTTTAAAAAGTCAAAGTTTCCATATAAATGAAAAAAAGTCTTGACTCATGTAGTAAAGATTAGTGTTCAGTTAATTAGATAATTTTCAAACTTGAAAACAATTTTAATGTCCCACATAAGACAACTGCAATCATATAGAATAAACAGAAGTGGATTAAGAATACCTGAGTGTTAAGGGATCTACATAGGTATTATACAGAAGCTAGGAACAAATAGCTGCCTGTAATGAGCTTACCTGTAATGAGAGCATCAGGTCGGGATTGCTCTTTTCTCCAAGCAGGAACAAAAACTGTAATATCTTTATGGCCTCTTTCCAAAAACCAATCCACTGCCAATTTTATTCCTCGGCAGGAAAATACTTCTTTGTTTCCATGGCTGAAAGATTATTTCATAATACTTAAAATACAACAAAACCTAAGTTCAATTAAATTAATTCAAGTTTATAAACAGAAACAACTGCATAATAATAATAGCAATATTAGATTTGAAAGTTAAGGTGAAGGCCGAGCTCAGTGGTACATGCTTATAATCCCAGTGGTTTGGAGGCTGGTGCAGGAGGATTTCGAAATCAAAGCCAGGCTCAGCAAAGGCAAGGTGCTAAGCAACTCTGTGAGACCCTATCTCTAAATAAAATATAAAACAGGGTAGTGGTGTGGTGGTGTGGCTCAGTGATTGAGTGCCCAACCCTGAGTTCAAACACAAGTAAAAAAAAAAAAAAGGGGGGGGGGGGAGACAGTTAAGATAAAGTTGCATTCCTCAGAAAAATTAAGATAACTTAGTTGAAAAATCAAGATCGGTGAGAAAACAATTAGAAAACTGAAGTGATTATTGTGTAGAAAATAAAGAAAAAATAGGTTTCCAAATGTAAAGTTATAAAGATTAACTAGTCAAAAAGTTTACAAGTTCTTTTTGATAAAGAAAAGGCTTCAACCACAGAAAGAATTTTAATCAAATGTAAAAAAGTCACACAGAAAAAGAAATCTGTAAAAAACAGTGAAATGGAATACTTCAGTTTCTAAAAACTTTTCCTTTTTAATAGTTCTTATGTATATTTTTCAATATAATGACTAAGTCATGCACAAAAATTTTTAGGTGACCAATGTAAAATAACACCACATAGTCATGGAAAGGAAAAACACGTTCACAATGCTTTATCTCATATAAAAAAATACTTTCTATATCCTGTAATGAAAAGATACCTAGTTTCTGTTCAACAATTCTGTGTTGGACAAGGATTAATGATGTCAAAAGGGCATTCAAAATTGGATTAGCAGTCTTAGTGTCTAAAAGAAAATGCCCAACTCAGGAGTCATTCAATAAGTATTTATCTAGCACAAGGTTCTACTTATACATATTAACCAAATAATTAAAATAACACTAATTTCAATCTTTTTAAAGAAAGAAGTTTCTGCCTTGAATGTAATTAACTGCATTCTTTACAGCTTAAATTCTGAGGGCTCCCTTTCTTACATATTATTTTATTTTTGGGACAAAGAAGGGCTGAATGAAATTATGTAGGTAAATGCTTCTGTTAACTTTTAATAGACATCAACCATTAGGAAACCCAAGAACCACTAACATGCTGTAATCATTTTCAGTACAAAACAAAAATTGATTCACCTGCTTCATAGATGTTAAAGACTACAAATACATACACAAGAAATTGTGTTTCATGGTTTCACAGACCTGTTTTAACGGTTCAGGGAAAGATTAGAGGTGAAATCAGATTCATTGGAAGTTTCAAAGAATGGCATAAGGAAAGGAAGAGTGTGAGGTCACATTTTCTAGGTAAGAAGGGCTGCCTACTAGCCTGCAAATGCTCCAGAAAAAAGAAACAAAGTGATGTTTGGTTTCATGGAAAATCCTGAAATTTAACCAGTCTCTGAAAAACTATAGAAAATGAAGGTATCTCTTCAGAGAACACATAGAGCGTATTCCTAAATACACTCAACTTGCTAAAACTTTACTATATTTTTGCTTTACTTTATTGTTTTGAAATCTATTATATTATGCTTTGCTAGTAAAATGATGATATTTGTTTTATTGAGAGTTGACAATTGTTTCTGCCTCTAAAGACAGGCATGCATAAGCAATTTCTTCCTGGTGATTTCATTCAATAAGGGTAACTGTCACATTTACTCAATGTACAAATAGAAGATTCCATCTTCTCATTAAAAAACTTTCATAAAATGTGTGAGACACCAGACCATTTACAATCATGGGACACAAATTCTATAGATTCAACAATAGGAAACTGTATCAATTCCAATAATAAATTTTTTCCTCATTATCCTCTCCTCACCCTCCACAAAGCATCACAGGGAGAGAAAAGGAATGAATAAGGATGAAAGGTCGTAAATAGAAACATAAAAAGAGCCTGGATTTCTGAGCAGATGGACCCAAATCTATGTTCAATCTTTGTTATATGAGAAAAAATAATTCCACATTTATGGAAGCAACTGTAGTGCAACTTTCTGTTGTTTGCAGTTGAACACATCCTTAACTTCCACACTAGGCAGACTATAAACCAAAGTAAACTGGCACAGCTCAATCAATACCAGGGAAAAGTACATAGTTTAAGGCAAATACATTTCTAGGGATAAAAAAGCTATTACATAATAGTAAAATCGGAACAATTCACAGGCAACTATGGTAATTATGAACTCATAATCTGTGTCAATAAGGCAAAAGTTCACAGGATTACTAAAAGAAATTAACAAATTCACAATCATACTAATTGACAGGTGAAGCAGAAAACATTAAATAAGAATATAGATAATAGGAACAATCAATTAAAAACCTGATCTAATGGACATATACAAATCCTGCACAAATTCAGGGAATAGAAAATCTTTTTGTGAGCACATCAAAGCTTTATAAAATTGGCTATATACCAGGCTATAGAACAGATTTCAACAGGTATCAGGAATCTGAATCATACATAAAATATCCTTTGACCACAATATGTTACTATGTTACAGATATGAGGTTCTAACAAAAGCAATTTAAAATTTTAACTTTAAAAGATTATTTAATTTGTAATAATAATTAAAGCTAAACAAATCTAAACAAAAAGAACTTTATAGAAAAAATGAAAATTAGAAACTTGTATTAAAGAACACAAGAACTAAAAAAAAGAAACAATATAACATTTTCAGCAGCAGTAAGACCCAATTTATAAAGATGGCTATCAAGTTAACATATATAAGTACATTATATTACCAAACAAATTACAGAGAGAAGTTTTTACAGAACTTGAGAATCTGATCCTAAAATTGATATGGAAAAACAATGAAAACAATGCTGGGGGCTGGAGTTGTGGGCTCAGTGGTAGAGCACTTGCCTGGCATGTGTGAGGCCCTGGGCTCATTCTCAGCACCGCATATAAATAAATACAAAATAAAAGTAAATAAAAGATCCGCTGACAACTACCAAAAAAAATAAGGTGATGTTACAAATCAAAATTGGAAAAAGATGGACTATTGAACCAATGATACTAGGGCAACTGGCCATTCATATGGAAAAAATGAAACTGTACTTTTAATTCTTTCCATATGCAAAATGTAAGTTGTAGGCACATCTAAGATTTAAATATGAAAAGAAACATTGTAAAACTTTTAGAAGAAATGAGGAGACATTCACAGTAGGATAGGGAAGTACTTGTTAAATAACACAAACAACCACGTACTATCATAGCTTTGAACATATAAAAGTTCTTTACCCAATACTCCATAATTTATAAAGAAATGTCATATTGGAAAAAGAGACTTGCAATTTGTAGAAACAATCAAAATTCTAATAGTTAGAATAAATTAAATATTCTTTTATATCAAAACCAGTAACCCAGTTTTTTTTTTTAAGGTAAAAGATATGAACAGTCAATTCACAGAAGAGGAAACCCAAATGACCAATAAACACATGAAAAGATGTTCAATAGTGGAAAAATGCAAATTAAAGTCAAAATGAGACACTCCTTCACACCCATCAGATTGGTAAAAATAAAGTCTGCAAACACCAGATGTTGCCAAGAATGTGTGAAAGTAGGAACTCTTACTGTACAGGTGGGAGTATAAATTGATGTAACTATTTGGGAGAGCAATTTGGCAATACTCTATAAAGTTGAAGGCGTGCTTTCTCTAAAACATAGCAATTCTACATCCGGGTTTAGTAAAACTACACAGTAACCTAAAATTAGATTCAATGCAATTAGCCATTGGCTTTCATCCTCTGCCCAGCCTTGGATTTTTACATGGGATAGGCAAATGTTCCTCACTGCTAAAGGGAAGAGAAAGGCATGCAGGAGGGGTAGGTCCCTGAGTCTCCAAGATTTTCACAGCCAATCCTCCCAGATCAGGAAAAAAAATTAAAAGCTAACTAAGAAATTCCTAAAATGGCTGTTATTTTGGAAGTCCCTGTTAAACACCAAGACCCAGAATTATTCCTACTAAGATTTAAGTCCAAGCAGACAACCACCAGGTGGCTCCAAATTACAGAGGTAATTTGTAGGGGACTTGGACATATCAGGAGAGGTTTGGGGAGACTGAACTTAATCAAATCTTACTGAGGCATGTTGAAAGATGTGATTAATGATATGTGCTAGATATAGTAAAAGGGACAACTATAGGAGGTACTAATGAGAAAATGACAAGAGTTAAGTCTGATAAAAATTATGAAAAACAGGATGTCCAAGTACAATGTTACTGATGCAATTAACTATCTGTTGGCTGTTTATTAAAAAAGAACCCCAGCTTTAATTCTATATAAGAACAAAATTCACAATAACTTTGCAGCCACTTATGGGCTATCTGCATACACTCAGGGATTTTTCTCCCCTGAGTAATGAAATTAGATAATATTATATTTATGAATTAGTATATTCCTTCAGATATCAATTTCTTTTTTAACCTAAAAATTTAGCAATAAGGATGGTTGGTAAACCTTAAGTAAGTTCTTCTGTTGGGTGATTTCATTGGAGGACATTGTGGTTACCTTGAATTAGGTAGAAGACCCTGAATATATGCTAAAAAGTTACCCTCCAACTGTTTTGGTTTAGTGGGATAGGGTTTCTGGGGAAAAATTCCAAATCTTCACAGCAAATTTTGAGTTACTGTTGATCAAAATGGGTAATATGAGCTTGAAGATCTCATCTGACTGTGATACTGGCTAATAGTAGAAAAAATATGAGAAGTCCCGAATGTTGTCAGCAGATCCCTTAAAAAAAAAAAAAAAAAAGGCTTATTTTACTCTGCTGTTTGGGACAGGTTCACCTATAAAAACACCACTTTGCAATGGCCAGAGAAAGGGTTGACTGAAGTAGAAAATTTCGTGTATTTACAAAAATTCTTAGAAAAACTCTACTCAAAAGAATTACTGAT